AAACTGCTGTATTTTGCCCAAATGCAACCTGTCTAGTGAACGATTGGCCTCTTCCAAAAATCCAGAACTCACTCCGGACTTATTTTTTTCAGATTCCTCAATGGCTGTTCTGCTCCCTATCAATATTACCCCTTTACAATAGAATGCCGCCAAACTGATGACCTTTCTTGTAGAAAAGAAAAAAAGAAAAAAAAAGTGATAATAGAGAATGAAAAAAAGAGGTATATAATAAAAACAAATACACAAAACAACTCTCCCCTATGATCACTTGTACCAACCAGTCTCTGAAAGCAAGTAGAAGACTTAAGACCAGAAGTAAACAAATAACTTGGAGTTTCCTTAATACGAACTGTTGTCGATGAAGTCTCAAATGTGATACACCGAGGAGTGGACATTTTAGACGGTTTGCAAAGGGGTCAAGCCTTTTTTCTTTCTTCTTTTCAGGTGGACTCCCTTTTGCATTCGGCATCCAAACCAGAGGAGTCTCTGGGAACAGCAAGTAGAGAAAAAACCCAAGTTATTATGGGAACAGAAGGCTATGAAGAACTTTTGGAATAACACTCTTTGGTTAGAAAACTCGCAAAACTATATTTTTCCCCTGCCGCTTTCTTTTTTTTCAAAATTTTCGATAAAAAGTGGGGGATTTAGCTACCCCCTTCAAAAGATCGGCTTTGTTTACATATCCATTTTCGGAAAGTCTCGAGTTACGATATGATGAATAAGGAACACAACAATCACATGTGAGGAGGAAGCTTTGTTTAGGTTGAATCTGAGTACAGGCCCGTATAGATCAGTTGACTATTCAGGAATGAGTGTCCTATAAGACGGACCCGAGGAAGTAGCTTCCAATGATGCTGGTTGACGATAGGGAGGACCTCCTGTTTAACCTCATATAGCATAGAAGATAAGCTGAAATGACCAATAGTAAGTGAATTCTAGAAAAGATTTGGATAAATAGAACTTACGATCACGTGTCGAGACTTTAAAATTAGCGCATTAGGATTCGAGGTGGATTCTATAAGAGTTGTAAACTGGAGTAATATAACAGAGATATGCAACATTCTGAAGTCATATACATATAATTTTTAGCCCTTAGCACAGGTTAAAGTGCATTTTAGTTTATAGTTTCTTCTGTCAGATACATAGATTTCTACGACCATGTAGATAGTTTTTTATCTGGTTAGCAGGTTTTTATATCTGTAGACAAGTTCTTATAGATTTTAGGATAGCTTTTAGATTCCTTTATAATTTGGTCATTTTCTTTGTACGTTTGTTTATATCTTACCCTGTTCTCGTAATTCCCATACACTTTTTTTTTTCTTTTTTACTTCTCTATGAGAAAGTGTCATCAGATTGGCGACACTCTATTGTAGGGCAGTGATTCTGACAAGGTCGTTAAAACCATCTGTTGATATTTGGGGCTCATATTCTCAAAAAGTTGAGGATCCCAGAAGGAGGAAAATTGTTCACTTAGGCGGATCGCTCCTGAGTCATACTCTAGCACTTAATCTTAGGATTAGGTTGTGATAATGAGATAGATCGAGAGATTTTTTATTTGGACAAGCATAAGTCAGTTTATAGTAGATAATGTAGGCCTAGCTAACTAAGATTTCTAATTGTAATCTGCTACCGATTATAAAATAAAGAAAGAATCACTAAAGTAAAAAATATATATATATATATACTTTGATCTAATAAAAATACTAGTGAGACTACTAATATAGAAAAAAACCTTCAAAAATTATAAAAAAAATCATAGCAAAAAAAATATATATAGAGTATAATAATTTAGTATAGTTAGTAAGTTGTCACATCCTCAAGTAACAGAATAAGCATTCAATCTTACTAATATCAAAATTCAAATTTTATAAAATATTACAACAGACTATATATAATTTAACAGATCAGCATCTGTAACCTTGGTTATATCAGTTTGTACTGAAAGGCTATAAAATAATAGTGTGATGCAAAAGTTATATAAAATCCAAGTAAAGCAGTTTAGTAAATTTAGATGCTCATTTAGCAAAACTTAAATAGAAAGATAGTATAGACTTTTAATAGTGCTATATAAAGAATTATTATTCAGAAATTCAGAAAAACTAAATAGAACTTAGATGTTTAGCAAAAGCACTTCATCAACTAGATCACTAGATAATTAGAAAAAAAAATTGCCTTTCTGAACTATCTGGATTGAGAGTTTTCAGCAACTAGAGGTACAGAAGATAGTTTGTAAAGTATATACTAAGGTTTAAGTGATCTTTATAAGAATAAAAGTAGATAATAGTAGCAGCTTCAACTTGTTTTTAGACTAGTATAAGTTACTAAAGTTTAGATTAACCAGATTATAGATATAGAAAGCTCTAACAATGATATCTCAATAATAAATTAGTCTTAAAAGTATAAGAAAAGCATTTGAAACTTCTTAACTAACAAATGTAATAAAGATGTATTAGTAATACAAGAAGGGTTGTATTACAACAGGTTTAAATAAATAATTCACTAATTAGATTATAAGTATAGTATTTGGTATAGTATTTATAATGTAATACTAATATGCAGACTACTTAAATAGATAACTAAAAGTTGTATATATGACTAGTTGTATTCTCTAATATAAAAAAAAAGGTTTGTTGTAAACTACTTGAAAAACTTGAATAAAAACTTCAGTCCAAAAAGTCTAGTTAACAAAAATATATATATATATTACAAAATAATGCATTTCTATTTGTATACAGTGTGTATATACACGGTTAATATAAAGAGCCAATCAGATTGCACGATCAGATGTAACGTAAAATTATTATTTTCTCTAAAATATTACCTATATCTCAAAATTTCGCTTATGAAACCACCTTTTGGATTCTAACAAAAAAAATTCCTTGCGAAATTTTGGTATAGACTATAACCCGCCCCAATCCTAAATGCACCCTTACCCTAACCCGAAGTAGGGTTTAATTTTTCGTTTTATAAAAGTTGTTTTGATTTGCATGTTACACGGATTGTTAAATTAATACCCGTGTACCCTTAGTAATTTTCTATTATTTTAATCCACACTAATAATAAAAATCAACCTTGTTCTATTATAAAAAAATTGCTATTAATATGATTTATACAAATTTTGAAATTTACCAATCCCCTTCTTTTGCTGTGAGGAGTCCCCTATAGCGAAGTTTATACATTTAATTAATAATTCTTTTCATATGAATTTCAGCTACATAAATATGACGAACATATTGTCATAATAAATTATATCAAATGGTGAAAATAGACATTCCCTAAATTAATAGTTATAATAAAGTTCTTTAAAGTCCAAACTTACATTGAACATAATTGTCTTACTAATTTTTTTTTAAAATTTCGTGGTTAAACGTAGTAATAATAATAAACGGTAAGATTATTTTGCGTAGTAGATATTGACATTATCTGTAATTTCAATGTTATAAATGGCTTCTGCGATGATTTCTATTAATGAAACAAATGAGTAATTCGGGTAATTGAATTGCATCGACCATTTAGACGAATATCCTTCGATAAGAATCGATGTAAATTAGTTAATCATATGAAAATCTTCCTATAACCTATTGCTATATAAAACCCTTGAATATCCGCCGGTCATAGGTTTCTGCATGCCGGGCTAGGTATCAAGCTCTGAACCCTAGGGTAAGGGTAAGAGCCAAGTCCTTACACGGCGGGTAGGGCTAGAGTATTGGCAGGTATATTAGTCATGTCACAAAAAAATGACAGTGACGATCTACAAGCCATTCAGACTATATTTCTATAATCAGGCTATTAATTTTATACTTATTATTCGGGACCAAAAAAGTTACGAATTTTTTATAAAACTTTTTTTGGATCTCGAATTATAAAATTAATGGGCCCGAATACAGAAATATAGTCTGAGTGGCTTGTAAATTACATCACAGCCAATTTTTGTGACATGACTAATCTACCTGGTATAGTCACTACCCGACCCCTGCCTATACCTTATTTGATTCTTTTTATATGTCAAAGCTCATTATTCAACCTAATTATATTAAATAGATAAAGTGTATCAGAATGAATATGTAAACAATTAGAAAAGTTTTTAAGATTTAGTATAATTTGCATATCGATATTGGCGATTATCAGATCTAAAATACTATCATCAACTAAGAATAAAAGAATTACAAAGTTCTTTGTAAACATAATTCAGTGCTTGACTCTATAGTATCATCATTTTGTAGATAAATATGCAGTATATAATTTTTTTAAGAACATTAAACTTTGTCTAACCCTACCTTGATATAATAAGAAATTGAATAAAGATTCAAGGAAAAAAATATCCTAAGGCAAAAATAAAATAATAAAATGAATCAAATTAAATTGAAATAAACAAAAAGTCCTTGATCAATGAATGAAGGTAATACCTGACGATTTGTCAGGTCATTCGAACTTTCAAAACGTACTTGCAGTTTATTTTAAATTGATTTAGACTCTCCTTAACATAATCAATAAAATTAAATTGAAAATGGAAATATCTTGTAAGGTTTATAATAAAATAAAACTTTTGTGCTGATTAACGTATAATTTAATATATGACTCACAAGAATTAAACTCTTGCACAATTTTTTAATTTGAACTATTGATATATTGATACAAAATAAATACAAACATGAGTGGTTTTGATATCCTTCTGCCTATACGCCTTATCAAATTGATCAAGCAACTCTTTTTCAAAAACTTTTCGATGTGTGTCTCTGCTTATAAAATAATGCGAACTTACATCTTCAACACCAGAAGTATCAATCTTAAAATTTGGGATAACTGGCTATTTTTTGAAAATTATATATTAATATGGTCGTGGAAGAGATTATCAAAAAAAAAAAGTGTAATTCTAGCCAATCAGAGTTCTTTCAGATCAGCCAATCAAAAAGAACTTCTGTTATGTAGATGTACAGAGATCACTTGATAAGCGTTGAGTGTACTGTGTTATAACAACGACAATTATTATTTATTACAAAATGGCCTACCCACCTTACAAACGTTCCGCTGAAAAGAAATCAGGGCAATATGTTTTTGACAATGATGCTAATCCTTTTATGAGATCTAGTTCGTCTTCGACCAGTGTTCCACCTCTTTTTCAAGATTCTCGACTAGGAAGTAGTCAGAATAGTCAATTTACACTGTCAGAAACAGGCGATCGGCCTTTCAAAGTCAGCCTTCTTAACCTTTATTGGCGAAAAGTGCGGTTTATATACCATTTAACTGATGTAATTGCTTTTAGAGATCTCGGTTAGACCTTGAATTTTCGTCAAAAAGCGGGTTAAGTCCGTCAACTCCTTCGAGAGGCTCGAGAGGTTCTTTTAATTTTACGCCAACTGTCAAAGGCCTACAAGGTAAATAGGCTTAATGAATAGTTAATAACCATAATCCTATGTCCTAAATGGAGCAAATTTTTTAAGATTCGATGATTAGTGCGGCGTCTATTAAATTTCCGAGTCTTATCCCACTAAATATTGACAAAGAATTATCAGAAGCTCGAGCAAAGATTGCTGAACTTGAGCACGCAAAAAATGATTTGGATCGAAAAATTACTAGATTAGAGACAGAAAAACAAAGTTCAGAGCTTCAAGTTAAAGAACTGAATTTAAAAAATGAGGTTCGATACGGATTGCTGTATATCTTTTTTACGGCCTACTTTTACGAATTCACAATTTTTTATTATTATAAATAATACAGAAACTGAAAAGTGATATAAAGTTCTACCAGGATCGGGAAAAAGAGGCTTCTACTAAAGCTGAACGGGTTGAAGCGGAGTCTAGACAGTACATTGTATATAATTTTTTGGATTGTTTCTTTGAAATGTGATTTTTTTTTTTTTTTTTTTTTTGCAATCAATAAATAAGTTGACTTTCGATATTGTAGCAAACCTCTGTCCGTGAAGCAACAAGGCTCCAAAATGAAATTAACAAATTAGCTCAAAACCTACAAGAGATTAGGAACATTAGTCAATCGAAAGAAAGTGAATCAAACCGGACGATCAATACATTACAATCTGAATTGACTAGGCTAAATCACCATGTTAAAAGCCTTAATGAAGAGGTTTCTTTTTTTTTTTTTTTTTCTGACTTATGGTTAAAATTTTTCCCTCAAACGCTCAATATATGTTTTTAATGAAAATGCAAGATTCTGCAACAAAATGAAATTTCTACATCAAGACAAGCGATTTTATCGCAAGTTCAAGAGCAATTAATTGAAGCTGAGCAGAAATTACAAGAATTTAATCAACTTTCTTCCCAACTGGATGACTTTAAACACCTCAAAAAACAAAGCCAAGGTATCATGATTATATTAAATTGGATATATGAATGCTGCGGAGTAAAAACCTGAAATGAATATTTAGATTTTCACTGTGGCAAACTTAGTCCTTGAAAAATTATGATATTATGTATTGGTATCCATTATCAGTGTTTTTGTAGACCACTATCTTCTAGGGGTAAACTCGTTACAGTGAAAATTTAAATATTCATTTCCAAGTTTTCAACCTCTAGGTTTTCATTCTGCATACTCATATCAAGTTCTTATAGAACATTTGCTCATTGTTATAATTCAATATATTTTAGAACAATCATTATATATCCAGAATTTAGAAAAAAGTAACAATGACTTGAAAAATGAATTGGAACGTTTGAAGGAATTATCTCCAAGTATTCAGATTCTTCAACAAAAGGTTGAGTCATCTGAATATCAGCTTTCTCTCATGAGGTCGCTTCGTCGCCAAGCTGCCGAATTGGAAGCCGAAAATGCTGCGTTGAAAAAGGAAAAAATCGAATGGTATTTATTATAAATTGATTTATTTCAAAGTTGAACAATATATTGACCTTTTCTAAACAAAAACATAGGGCAAGTTACTTGGATCAGGAAAAGGACAAAATCAATATTAATTCACCTTACAAACTTTGTAAAGAGCTTGCGTCGAGACGAATTGAAATCAATATGCTTGAAGAAAAGGTGGGCCGCTTAGAAGAACAAATAAAAAGTCGGGATATGATAATTTCCGAAAATGAATATAAAGTGAATACAGATTATCTTTGAAGTAATTACTTCATACTTATTTCTTTTTTTGGGGGAGTTACTAATAAACTATTATTCGTAAATTAGATAATACAGTTAAACAGCAAATATAGATCTATGGAGAATAAACTTACAAACGAGCTCGAGTTATCTAAAAGGACAAAAAATTTGCTACAGAAAGAAGTGGAAATGCTGACTGAAGCTTTGGTTTGTGATTACAAGAAAGATTTTACATAGTAACATCTAAGTATAATATTATAATTAATAATATAATAAATCCTCTTATTGAATTAGAAATCATATGATAAAGAAGAGCAACACCTACAAACAAATTATGATGAGCAAAAAATTGAACGCATTCAAGTATTGGAAAACTTACTCACAACGTACAAGGAAGAACTTGAACAAATATCCGCCCAATCACATAATAACCAACAGCTAGAAGATCAATCTGGTCCTTCTGAAATAAACCCTCATACGGTTGAAGTTTTACGTCGTAATGAAGAATTACAAGCAAGTAAGGTTTAATTTTGTATAAATCAAAATATGTTTATTCTCTTATTTATCGGGATTTTATTACCACAGTCATTTATGACCTGAAAAATGAAAATGTTAATCTAAAAAAAGAGGTTACTTCTCTACAAATGCAAATTACTGTTCTTGAGCAAAAGGATCTGAAAATACATTCGTCAGAGTTGATCAAACAAAATGAAATTCTACAAGAAAGTAAGTCTTTTTTTCGGCAATTGTTGCTCTTATGCTTTTATTTGAAATCATTCATTAATTATTATACTGGTTCATAGCTATAAATGACCTTAAAAATGAGAATTTATCATTGCGAAAACATGCATCTTCTCTCGATCAACAGGTTTTTGCTTTAGAGAAAGCAGTGGGTAGAGGCGAATATAACCAAGAAACAACGCGAGTATGAATTTAGAAATTCACCAGTATTTTTTGATGAATTGTTATTTGAAATAAAAGTATGGAATAATTTAGTACCTTAAACTTTATAAAGGTTTTAGAATTGAAAGATAATCCTTCATCGAGAGATTATGCTATTCGTCAAAGCACTTTAGATGCATTAAAAACTGAGAATAATCAACTTTTAACAAAACTGAAAGAATTACAAAAAATGCTCGAAAACAATCACACAACACAAGTAGAAACGATGGATGATAATGATAATTCTATCATCAATGTAATACCGACCCAAAGTTTTACGAATCTTGAAAACGAGAATAAGCAACTCGTAGAACAAATCGCAGAGAAAGAAAAAAGAATATTAAGGCTAAAAGAGGTTAATATCGTTGTTTATTTTATAATTTACGTCGGAATATGTCTTATGGCATTCTAATTTATCTATTATTTATAAGGTTTGGAAAACTAAGGCTCAAGAATATAGAGAAGCAGTGTATAGCCTTCTTGGTTATAGGTTTGATTTTCTTGAAAATGGCCGAGTTCGTTTAACATCCATGTATTCGGAACAAGATGATCAATCGTTCATTTTTACGTCAGATGAGAATGATTGTGGTACTATGCAATTGGTTGGAGGAAATTCAGAATTTATTAAGAGTTTAGATCATCTTATAAAATTTTGGGTAGTTGAACGTAGTTCTATACCATGTTTTTTAAGTAGTCTCACGATGAAACTATTCGAAAACACGACATCTGGACCCGTTGGTAGGGATATGGACATGAGTATATGTAGTACAGTTAATCAAGAAAGTACAACCGAATAAACTACCATTTCACGTATATTCGATGGTTTATTAATATTAAGTGGCTATTATTTTCGTTTTTTTCAAAACTTAAATGCATTTTTTTTTTCGATAATTGTTAAAAAAATATACCAAGTTTTTTTTATGGTCAAATGTACTGGATTTTCCATAATACTTAAAACTTTTTGTGCTAAATTGTTATTATAAAATGAAACTATATACAATTTTACTATCCTATAAAAAAAAAAAATTAGTCACAATAAAACTGCCACCAATAAACTACGTAAAACGCATTTGTTATATATCTCTCGGATATATACATAAAATATATACATACTTTTTTGGTAACTGGGTTGCTTGAGCTATACACTATTTTAACTAAACCCAAATTTACTTTTTTGATTTTTTTTTTTTTTTTTTTTTTAATAATTCCAAATTTGCAATAACCCACCCAAAAATAAAGAAAAAAGATAAAAAAAATTTTTTTTAGGAAAAAAGGAAATGTTACAGAGTCGAGAAGAAATTGGATAATGGGTAATGAAAATGTTATATGATGCAAGGAAAGATGAAAATATATAAAACATGTGAATATTTTGTACATGGGAATAAAAAATTAACTTTATCCCCTACCCTCCCTTTTTTTTTTTTTTTTAAAGTATTTATAAATAATTCGCAGGAGGGATTAAATATAAAAAGCCAAATATTTTTTTTTCTCTTTTTTTTCCTTTTTTTTCATTTTTTGTTTTTTTTCTTATTTTTCCTTTTTTTCATTTTTTTTTTGTTTTTTTTTTTTAAGCGAAATCCCTAATGAAGGTACAATTCACAGGAATATTAAAATTCAATACCACAAAAAATATCAAAAATATCAAAATTATTAGCAAGGCCATCTTTTTTTTTCAATAATATTCCTAAATCAATCTAATAATTTTTATAGACCCACCCATTTCACAGAGAAAAAAAAATAAAAGCTTAATCTTAATACTTCAACGTTAAATGTAGAGTTCCATCTGGTCCACCTTGGACCTCTACTTCCATGTCTTGTTCGTCATCAATTTGATGAATTGATTCATCATCAAGACGAACAGTTAGATTACGCTTAGTGCACCTAATTACATTCGTAATAGTTTGACCTTGAAGGTCAACTTTTTCAGATAGTTTATCGGAAAGCTTTGATATAAGATCTTGAACCGTAAGGTGGTTGAGATAAACAGCGCGATATGCGGATTCACCAGGTAATTTAACATAAATGCAGAGAACTAAAAATAATTATAAATTATAAATTATAAAAATTATAAAATTATTAAAAAAAAAAAAAAAAAACTAGAATAATTTTAAAGATAGATCAAGCTTACCAGCACGACGTTTTCGTAAATGTGGAATGTACGTTGGATCACAATCCAAAGGTTCTAAGAAATCAGGACCCATGGAAAATCTCCTACGTTTACCTAACTGAAGAGTCATGAGTTCACCACCTTCTACGTCTGGATCAAGGTTATTCAACGTTTCGGACAGGCTTTGAACTTCTTCATCATCAGAAGCATCATTATTTCCAGTAATTTCTGTAAATACGGTCATAGCATTCGGAGGTGCGTACATCATGATCATGGGTGATGTAGGTTCTTGTGATGATTTACCTAAAGATTCGTAGTGTCGCATATATAATAATTTTTTTAATGTCAAGCGAAGAATGATGAAAATGATGAAAAGAGTGATGCAAAGAATGATAACAAATGATAAGATTTAATAAAAATAAACAAATACCCCTCATTTTTTCAACCATCTTTTCAAGATGCTTTTGATCGTCTTTATTTTTACGTTCAGCACCCTTAAATGGAAATAATACAATTTAGTGAAACAAATTATACAATATGTTACAAAGATTACACGTGTCAAATACCTTATCTCTAAAAAGTTTAACTTTTGCAAAGGCCTTCTCAATAGAGTTGCTAGTCGCACCATTTTCAGTTTTAGTCTCTATATGTATTCTTAGAGGAATACCTTTCACACCCTTTATCCGTGAAAAATCAGTAGAAAGGCAGTTAAAGCGCACAAATATTTTTGCACCCTTTTTGCCATTCCATCGAAATTGCACTCTATCAAAAGTTTTAGTTTCTACGTTATTAATTCCAGTTGAAGCGGCTTTGTCTATGAATACAGAAAATTTCAATTTATCGAAAAATATATAAACTATACATGAATTATTATAAATGATGTAAATGAAAAAATTAATACCAATATCAATAGCCCTGGCAGTTTTTGGAGACGCTTGTTGTGTCAACCAAAAACTCCAATAAGTCGAGGCCATTTTGCGATGAGCATCATCGTGAAACATAACCTTAACAATACTGGTAAATTCTCCATCATATTTGTCTTGATCTTGCAAACATATACCATAATATTGTCCTAGATTACATATTTGTTTTTGATATTTAATAAATCAAATAAACGATAATGTGACGTGTAAGATCAAGATAAGATCAAAGATTGATTTTTACCTTTATTGAGATAGGTCATTGGAGTCTCATCGATACGTTGAGCAGCCGCCGTAGGAGCTTCAAGAATTACTTCAAAACGTAAATTACTATATAATAAAGATACATTAAATACATTAAATTATTAAAAGATTCAGGGAAAATTGGAATAATATAAGGATACATACGATGAACTTGGAGGAATGCTAGCAGGTGGAGAAGGCATGCTCACAGATGTACCATTATTACTATAATTTGAAACCTCTTGATTTGGTTGTTGAGCATGCTCAAGAGGAGGGGAATGATGATAAGCAGCACTTGTAGCATTTCCCTGATGATGCATATGATGCGGCATATGATAGTCGTTACCGTTATTTCCACCGTTTAGGGAAGAAATCGGACTAAGAGAAGGTTGCGAAGATACAGGAACGGGGCTCACAGACGGAAGAGTGGTCGAAGGCATTAATTGATTATGATTCATTAAAGGAGGATTAGGATGGGAATCGTGAATATCGGTTTTGTAGACCGGAGGGGGGGGAGGAGGACTGCAAGTTTTGGAAACATTATTAATCAAACAGGATATCGCGGATAAATTGGTCGCTAAAATTTAAAGGTACTAACAATGTTGTCGGAGAAAATACTTCTTGGTGATATCTGATACTAGATACACCAGGGGGTAATGGGGTAAGGAAAAAAATCTTGTATCTGTAGGTGTATGCTATGAAAAAATAGATGATGATATAATAGTTTAAAACATATCACTTACGCGTGAGATGGATACCCTCCAGTGGGGCCAAAATGTGGATGGAATCCGCCATAGTTTGAATGCATATGTGGTGCTACTGGTAACATTAGGTTACTTCAGGTTCAAAAAAAAAATATATATATATATATGTATATAACATAAATATTTACATATTTTTGGAGAAAAGAACAAGATTTAGGTTAGGAACAATTTCGAAACAAGATATTTAAAAAAAACAGAGAGCATATTCATTATTTTTACCTGTTATCCGGATATGGCATAATATGGTGAATTTAACACGACTATTTTGTGTGTTAATTAAAAAGCAACAAGAATCGTGGTTTCGTTACAAGTCGAAGAAAATCGTAAATCGTAAATCAAGTAGCAAGACGTTTTATTAATAATAATAATAATTTTCTTTTTTTTTTATTTCTTTTTTTTTTCCTTTTTTTTTTTTTTTTTTTTTTTTTTTTTAAGCGGCTACGTCAGAAATTTTACGTCGTTGATACGTTACAAGTAGTCGTTGGCTGCAAAGAGACCAGATAGAATAAGATATATTACAATAAAAAGAAAACTCGCACGATAAGAAGTGGTCGGTGCGAAGACGTAAAAAAAAAAAACAAGAGCTAGAAATTCAAGAGAGTAAAACACGAGAGTGTTTTTGCTCGATTGAAAAATCTGTGCAGCCGGTAAAAAGCCAGTGTACAGAGCCCTGTTTATTTAGGTTGTTTTTGAGTACAAGAAAAAAAAAATACAGCCAATCAGATGAGGCCAGGACTATAAATGTATAAATGTGCAATTTTATATATTTGGTAGTCTAAAAATATTGACTAAAATACAGTAAATAATTGCAAATCAATTAAGAGAACATCTACAGTTCAACACACGCAATATATATATAAATATATATAATATATTTTTATATAAATATATATTTATATTTATATATCTATTTTTTTTTTTCTTTGTAAAAAAAAAAAAAAAAGAAATATACATTATTTATAAGACTTGAATGCCTGGATCGGAAAGGACAGGAATTGGATCAAGAACCCTTTTTTTAAAAAAATGAGGGATAGATCTCTGATAGTATATCTCATTTTAACTTAGAAACTCAGTTTGGGCAGTGTTTGATATTTAATGACGGAATGATTCAAAATGTTTACAATCAGTGGCGTACCTTTAGGTGAATCTTTTGCGAGAAAGAGAGTGGCAGTGTAGGAATTGCTTGGTCACGTTACATAAAATTGTGACGTTATTTTATATTTTTTTTTGAAAATTTGAAGATTTCCCGGAGAAACTGGTTTCAATAAAATATTAAAGGAATCCGTACCGTTGGGAACAGATTTATAAGCCTGCGAATGTATGCGTGATGAAAATGGTTTTAACTGGAAAGATATACGCGTTTTGGATAAGAAAAATAATGTAATATATATATATAATATATATAATATATTATAACGATAATCGTAATTATAAATTGGAATATCTAATATCTATACATATCAATCTCAATCTATATACATAATAACAATATATAATATATTTATCATTATCTATATATTCTATATATATTCTATATGTTCTATATATTCTATATATATATATATATATATATTCTATATGTTCTATATATTCTATATATATATATATATATATACATGTATATAGATTTTTTTTTAAGTCTAAAAGTTAGCATTAGCGATATATTTGAAATAATTTGAGATAATAATTTAGGTGTATGCTAGTGGAATAGTAGATAATAAATATAGCATAGATACCGGATATAAATAGATAATGTACCTGGCGTCCAATTTCCGAAGCATTATTTACGGTGAATATTATTTACGGTGAATATTTAAATAACAGATAAGTACAGTACATACTTATGTAAAATTATTGTTCTTTACAAACATAGAATATATGCTAGTTTAAGCCAACATATATTCCTGATAAAATAATATAGTACCTGCTGATATGCTTAAAATAAGATCATTTATGCATACAAACAAATAAAAAGCCTAAAGTGAGAATGTTAAGTATATAGTACGTAGTGAATTCTTGTTCAAAATCGCGGGTTAGAAAAGAAAAAAAAAAGTTTTTTTTTTTTGATTTCGTTTTTAGTTTGCGTCAATTTTATGAACTCCGAGTCAAGTGGCTTTTTTTTTATTATTAAAATAATAATATAATATAATATTAAATATTAAAAAATAAAATTGAATACGTATCGATATAATAATACATAATATGGAATATAATAATTAATTGATTTATACAATCCTCTATTTAAGCCAGAATGAGATTACGAATAAAGGTAAACCTTTTAAGACATGAAATTGAAAAAATGGATAAATTAAAATTTACTTATAAACATAATAAACATAATATTAGAGCAAAAAAAATTTTTAATAGAGCTTCATTTGGTATAGACTTTCACATCGATGATCTTCAAACAGAAAAAAGGGTCGATAGTCGGGATGGTCGGGATTTGCGGAAGTGCGGAACCGATAACATACGAAACAAAAGAAAAAGAAAATTTTAACTTTATACATATCAGTTATGTGTTTACCGAAATTTTCGGACTTATTAGGTAAATAAAGTTAAGATTTAACATATGATTAATATGATTAATATGATTGATTGAATCGAAAATACAAGAAAGTTTATGTGCTGCGGAACAAGGACAGGTACTTGGATAATTTAAAAGCAGGGTCCAAGCACCAATATATCCAATATATCCAAGAAACCAAATTATATCGAATATAAGTAGAAATATAGAAATAAAAGTAGAAATATAAGAGAAATAAAAGTAGAAATAATATAAGTAGAAATATAAGTAGAAATATAAGTAGAAATATAAGTAGAAATATAAGTAGAAAAGAAGTAATATATACGCATATATACGCATATATACGCATGGTATTACTAATAATAAAGTAATTTATCCCCTGATCTTTTCAAGAGTCAGGAACTTAAACTTTAAAAACAGAGCAAATAGTAAAAATACCTGATTCTCAATACATGAAACGATTACTGAAATTCTTGAGATCTTCTGCATGTATTTTCAAATAATCAACAATTTATTAGCAAATTATTAGCAAATTATTGGCTGATAATAAATACTTTTATGCACGGATTTGCTTCTTCTTCTGACCATAGACATGTGTTATTAACGATGATAGTAAGAGAATCCTGTTCAAAACCTTGTTGAATTATACCACGCATATTGTAAAAATGCATCTAAAAAGTTTCTTAAAATATGAAAATCAAATGAAATTCATTTCAAGTAAAAATTAGGGCTCATTGATTAGTGACATGATTGTTAGAAAAGCCACTTTTGGCATTACGAGATCCACCGAAAATCTAGGTATTATTTATTTTATTGTCTTCACAAAATAAACATGCATTAATAACAAAGAAAGAAAAATGGTAGAAAAAAAGATCAACGATAACCAGACCAAAATTAAAAACCAACTCAGCCACCTGCAATAACTACTTTCGTAGACCCTGAATATCCTATGATCAGTGAAAGAAAGTCCCCAGTCCTAATGACCAAAAAACTGCTGCGTGAGATTCGAAATAGGAATTCCGTTGTCATACCCTATACTTTCTGCAAATAATCCCCCCGTTTGGCCATAGATTTATTGAACTACCAAATTAATCTCTATTAACAAATTGCACACATAGAGAGGCTTTTCTATTCTTCCATTCTGGTAAGTTTTGTGTTTTTTGTGTTTCTTTGGTTTATGTGTGACAAGTTGCAGGTCGGCGTGTGACTGAGCCGCGTATTTCTCATTACATCAGCTGTCAATAATTAAAATCATTAATGTTAATACTGTATAGTACGTACGTATAAAGTATATCTGTATATGTAAATAGTATATCTGTACAAGTATAACTGTATAAGTATATCTGTATAAGTATATCTGTATAAGTATAACTGTATAAGTATATATATAATATAAAATACCATAAAAATATAATTAATATACCATAAATATAAATACCATAGATACCATAAAAACCATAAATATAATATACCATAAATATAAAATACCATAAATATAAAATACCATAAATATAAAATACCATAAATATAGATAACGATAAAAAGAACGTTAAAAAGAAATTGAAATCGATATCATCATCCCGAAGATGGGAATCGGAAAAATTGCTCCATGTGGAAGATATACAATAATGAAGATAGAGAAATGTGGCGCGGTGCCGTGATACTCACAAAATTCTCAGAACGCGATTTTAGAATCTTTAACCAAATTTAGATCAAATGAGGACCAGCGTGAGACTCTTTAGTTTGAGGGTGCATTTATATTGTACATTGATTGGATAATCGAATTCTAAAGTTGGCTTTTCAATGTGCTTTCATCGATATTCATATTCCCCTTTGCAATGACTGCAATGATCAACATGTACTATCATGTACTATCATGTACTATCGAACTTATTGATCTTCATATATTTTAAGCGGCTGTGAGGTAAAATTTTTATAAAACAATAATGCACACAATAATGCACGGAGTGTGTTTATCACTGCTCGGCAACTTTCATGCGTAATTATAAATGTTATATTATATAAGCATTTTTTTTTTTGCATATTGATATGGTATCTTTTTTTGATGATTTTTATTTTTATCTCTATTTTATGCATATAATATATATATAGATAATATACTGTATAGTCATAGATAATATATAGTCCTAAC